TTTTGTTTCTTTTTCATTTTGTTTTTCATATATTTTTATTGAATTTTTATACATTTCAAACAAAATGTCTTAATCATCCTTATGCCCCTCATCCATTTGCACCCCCAAATATTCCCCCGACTGGATTTCATGCATTCTGTCATATATACTAAGACTTATCAAGTCAACTTTGTGTAGCTAGGTATCTCTCAGTGAAAGTTCATCCACTGGAGTCTAGTCAGCCTGTCTATAGAGTCTCTCCCTTAAGAAATATCAACTCTCCTCCACCCAGCAGCAATCAGTTGCCAATAGTTCTTTGGCTAAGGTTGGGGACTGCTACCCATTTCCCCAGTGATTATTTAATTGAGTTTGCATGAATCTTGTACATATTGACACCATTGTTGTAAGATCACATGAGCAAGTTCCCAGAGAAATGGAAGACTGTTTCCTTATGATCATGCACCAACCGTGGCTTGTACAATCTTTTTGGCCCCTCTTATCCAATGGTCCCTAAGCCATGGGTGGTGAGGTTTAATATAGGATTCTTATCCTGGAACATGCTCTCTTCAGTCTTTTAGTCTCTATAACTTGGCCAGTTGTGACCTTCTGTGTGCATAGTACTGTGTTAGATGAGGAAGCTTTACTGGTGAGAGTTAAGAAATGCATTAGTATTCTGTCTACCCCTGTTTCCACTATGTTCCATGATCCTTAGGTTTAGAGATTCCATTGAAGATGTCTCACTTAGGGCTGGGCATCTCTTACACACTTATTCTCTATGTTTGACCTGTGGTATAATTCTGTAACAGACTCCAATTTTTTTTTGCAAAAAGAAGTATTTTTAATGAGTGGTGGATGATAAACTTCTCTGTAGATATAAGGATTCATATTTAACATACAGTACGAAATTACCTTTGTCTAGGGATATGTCAGAAGTAATGTTTTCTCTAGGATCTATGACCTCTCCAGCTATATGTTTTTGCCTATGTTTTCAGTGCTACACATGAGTTCCCTCCCATTGAGAGGATTTTAAGTCCAATTAGATAGCTGCTGATTATACCCAAGATAAAAGTTCCACTACTGCACCACTATAGTTTGTTGAGCTGGTCATTGTCAAGGTTATTAGGACTTAAAGCTAAGGACAGACAAATTATTGGTTTTCTCCCTTAGCAGCTTGCATAGAATCCTCCAGAACTATGGGAGCTAGACTTCAGGGAGGAAGCTTCCAGGTCAGTTCCAGCTCCAATGTTCCAAGTCCTGTGTCTGAAGTATGTCCTATCTTCAGCAGTAGGGTTTTACCTTCAAGTTCTGGAAGGTAATCAAGGACTGTGGCAATAGTCTGTGCTATTTTGGGAGTCTTTGAAACTACCCTGACCAGTGACAGGGAGATTTTTCCCATCTGGCACTATTTTTCCTGTATACAGTCTCCAGCTATATATATGCACTTGTGTTCAGATACTGGATGTGTATTTTTCAGTAGGTTTTTGAACTAATACATTTCCCGCTGTCTTTTCACACAACCAGAGCTTTATTTATCCCTCCTCTCTCTCCCTCCCTGTCTTATCTACCTCTTCTCTCCCCAGTTAAAGCACCCCTCTTTTCCCCTTTTCCTTTTGATAATACATCTCCTATTATTACCCTTCCTTTGAGCTCTGTCTTCCTATTTTTTCCCATGATTTCTTGTACATCCTTGCCACATTCCTTCCCTGTTGAATATCCCCAAATTTCCCATTTCCACCTTGGTAAGATCTGTCTCCTACTGCCCTCCTCTTGCAGGCTGTTTCCTTCCCTTTACCTCCATTTTACCTACCATTTTCTTGACTTTTGCAGTTGCATCAGGATATATACTCATCACTTTAAAAAAAAAAAAAAAAAAAAAAAAAAAAGAAAAAAAAAAAGAAAAGGGGATTTGGTGCTAAAATCCAGAAATAAGAAAGAACATGTGTTGCTTGTTTTTCTGAGCCTGTGTTACTCACTTAATATAACAGTTTCTAGTTCCATCCATTTACGTGTAAATTTCATCTTTCTTTAACACTGAGTAGAACTCCATTCTCTTATTGAACTGCATTTTCATTATCCGTTTGTCAGGTGAGGGACACTTAGGTTGTTTCTATTTCTTAACTATTGTGAAAAAAAACAGCAAAGGAAATGGATGTATAAAAGTATCTCTACAGAAGGATGAGTCCTTTGGGTATATACCAAGGAGTAGTATAACCAGACCATATGGAAGGTTCATTTTAGTTTTTAAAAGAGTACTCTATACTGATTTCCATAGTGGTTGCATGAGTTTGCAATCCCACCAGCAGTGGTGAATGAACATTCCTCTTTCCCACATCCTGGCCAACATTTCCTGTCATTTGTTCTATTGATCTTAGCTGGCCTGACTGGGGTGAGGTGAAATCTGAAAGTGGTTTTGATTTTCTTTTCCATAATTACTAAGAATGTTGAACAATTTTTAAGATGTTTGTTCTCTAGTCATTTTTATTTCTTCATTTGAGAACTCTGTTCAGGACTGTACCCATCTTTTTGTTGGGTTATTTGTTTTCTTGTTTCTTTGTTTTTTGAGTTCTTTGCATAGTCTAGATATTAATCCCTGTTTGGATGTGTAACTGGTGAAGATTTTCTACCACTCAGTGTATTTCCTCTTAACTTGTTTTGTTTCTTTTGGTGTACAGAAGTCTTTTAGTTTACTAAGGTACCACTTGTCCATTGTTGGCCTGAATTCTGAGCAACTGATGCCCATTTTGAAAATCCTTTCCTCCAATGATATCTTGTACGGTACTGCCTATGTACCCTTCTGACAATTTTAGAATCTCAGGTCTCACGTAAAGGTCTTTGTTCAAGTTGGAGTTTATTTTTGATCTGAGAGAAAGATAAGGTTCTAATTTCATTCTTCTACAGGTTGAAATCATGTTTTGCCAGCACCACTTTTGAAGATGCTGTACTTCCTCCATTGTGTGTTCATGGCACCTTTGTCAAATATAAGGTGTTGTGATTGTATGCCCTCATGTTTGGATCTTCTATTATGTTCCATTGATCTATGTGTCTGTTTTTGTGCCAGTACCATGATGTTTTCATAACTATAGTTCTATAACATAGATCTGGTATGGTAATTTCTCCAAGGACAAAGTTGCTTTGTTATCTGGGGTCTTTTGTGAATCCATGTGAATTATTTTAGATTTTTTTTCTATTTCTGTGAAGAATGTCATAAGAATTTTCATTTGTATTACACTGAAGCTACAGATTGCTTTTGGTAGGATGATCATTTTCAAAATATTAATTCTACCAATCAATGAGCACATGAGGTTTTTCCATCTCTGGTGTCTTCCATCTCTTTCTTCAAAGATTTAAACTTTTCACTGTACAGATATTTAATGGTTTGGGTTAGGTTTATTCCTAGATATTTTTTGAAGCTCTTGTGGATGGGAGGGTTTCCATGAATGCTTTCTCAAATTGCTTGTTATTAATATATAGAAAGGCTACACATTTTTGTAAAATGATTTTTTAACCTGACACCTTGCTGAAAGTGTTGACTGAATATACCACCCAAGCACCTAGGAATACACTTTCTATTCAGCAGGCCATGGAATTTTCTCTGAAACTGACCATATACAGGGGCACAAAACAAACTTTAATAAATGCAAAAATTGAAATGATTCCATGGATTCTATAAGACTACAATGCAATAAAACAAAATCAACAGCAACAAAAGTTCTAGTAACTACATACACTAATGGAGATTAAACAACAGACTCCTGAATAATGAATAGGGCAAAGAAGAAATTAAGAAAGAAATCAAAGTATTCCTGGAACTAAATGAAAATAAAAGTACAATACAACAAAACCACTGGAACACTTTAAAAGCAGTCCTAAGAGGAAATTTTATAGCTCGAAGTGTCCACATCAAAAAAAAAAAATCAGAAAGAACACATATAAATGACTTAAGAGTACAACTCAGGACTCTGGAAAGGCAAGAACAAATCAAACCCAAACCCAGAAGATGAGAAGAAATAACAAAATCAGAGCAGAAATTAATGAAATAGGAAAATAGAAAAAAATCCAAAAAATCACTGAATTTGAGTTGTTTCTTTGAAAAGATAATCAATATAGACAGACTCATAGCCTAGTTAACCACAAGAAGGAAATAACAAACCCAAATTAACAAAATCAGAAAAGAAAGGGAAAAAAACAGAAAAAAAGAAAAAAAAATAGAAAAAAAACTCAAAAAGGTAAGGGAATACTTTAAAAACCTGTTTTCTATTAAATTTAAAATCTAAAAGGATAGATGAGTTTCTAATTTCCTGGAAATCACCAAAGCTAAATAAAGAAGAGATCAAAGATCAATACTTTCAAAAAACCCATAACAAATAAGGATATTGAAACAGCATTATAAAACCTCTCAACTAAAAAAACCCAGGTCCAGGTGGATTCACAGCAGAATTCCACCAGACATGCAAAGAAGCCCTACAGCCTCTACTTTTCAAATTATTCAAAAAGATAGAAACAGATGGAGAACTCCCAAACTCATCCTATGAAGCCAGTATCACCCTAATACCCAAACCAGGTAAAGACACAACAACAAAAAAGAAACCATAGACCCATATCCTTAATGAATATAGATGGAAAAATTCTCAACAATATGCAAAACATGTATAGATACACATCACAAAGACCATCCGCCATGATCTAGTCAGCTTTATTGCAGAGATACATGGATATTTTAATGTATGTAACTCAATAAATTTAATAAATCATATGAATAAACAAAGACAAAAATCACATAATCATTTCAATACTTGTTCAAAAGGTCTTTGACTAATTTCAACATTCGTTTGTTGCAAAAATCCTAGAGTGAATTTGACTGGCGAGAACATACATCAACATAGTTAAAGCTATATACAAGAAACTCTCAGCCAACATCATTCTAAATGGAGAAAAGTTGGAAGCACGCCTTTACCTACTAAGCCATCTCATTGCTCTTCTCTCTTATTCTTTTTCATTTTTCTTTTTACTTCTGCTTACAGAGGCTGCTGATAAAAATTCAGTTTCTACCTATCAAATAGTAAGTTTCTACTCATTGATTTGGAAATTTAAAAAGGTAAACTTTCAACTATTTGTCAATATTGTAAATTTTAGTGTTGAATGTCACCAAACAAAAAGGTGTGATATGACAACACTGTGAAAAGTTAAAAATAAAACAAAAATACTTTTTTATTATTACATCAAGATCAAGAAATAGTCTTGCCAACTGTATAAAATTATTTAGCATTCTACAATGTAGAATATCCTGTTATTCAAAAATTCCATTGATGGCCTTATGCACACAGGTATCTAGTATGTTGCAAAAGATGTTTAAAATAGAATTGCTTACCCTAGCAAAGTGTGAAGACTAACAGTAATAAAGTAATCCATTTGAGCTTGAATTACACGTCAATTTTTATGTCACATTCTAGATGGTGAATAAGAACTGTATTTCTAAACAATTGAAAAGATAAAGGTTACTAAGTAGTTGAAAATCAGATTACACTATCAATGATATTCTTTATTTTTATAAATCACCAATATTGCTAATGCTAAATTTTATCTATGTCTATATATGCTCTTACACATATATGCAAAGACACACATGTGAATGTAATGAATATTGAGTACATTGTTCAATTGAGGAATATGTGCAATGTAAGTATAGAGGTTAGAAGACTGATGAACAAACAGATCATTCAGTTTATGATTGCTCACAGTATAAAACAATAGAGAGATCAGAATTTGAGGAAAATGTGGATGTGATACCTATAAAAATACCACTTGCATGGCTTTAAAAATATCAGATTTATTAAAATAACAATGATATGTAATATTTGACATTGTTACTTCTGGCTTATATTTAATTCTTGATTTTGAGTCATTATACTCTGTGACATTTTTATTCAAAAAGATCATTATCTGAAAAATTTTATGCTGTCATTTTCTGTTTAACAGATAGATTGTAGCAAGTTTACAAACAAGAAATTTATGTGTACCAGAGAACTGGATCCAGTTTGTGCAACCAATGGAAAAACTTACAGCAATGACTGTGTTTTCTGCACTAAAATGTTGTAAGAACACATTATTTAATATTAATTCTTGAATGTAATGGAGTGAAATGATGTTCAGGAAATGATAGAAAAACTCCGTGTTTCTTATAAACCAGATATACACCAATAATCATTTTCACTAGACAAGCCACAGAAAGCCATTTTTACCTTTCCTGGAAGTTATCATTTAAAAAAAATTATTTATTTTTATTTTTGGAGGTTCTCATTGATAGCCTGCAAGAGCATCAAATTAATTAATTTAGCTTATTTTTTATGAAATGCAATCAGCAGGCCATTATACAGTATAATCATGCAAATCCAAAGTTCAGATGTTTACTTTCTGCTGCTATGACAAATTCCATTACCTAAATCTAGCAGAGGAGGAAAGATTTATTTCAGCATACAAGTTATAGTCCATTATTTAGGGAAGTCAGGTCAAGAACTCAAGGAAGAGCTTGAAATAGAAACCACAGAGGAAGGCTGCTTACTGGCTTACTCACAGGCTCAAATTTAGCTAGCTTTCTTGTACTGCCCAGGACCACTTGCCCAGGGAATGGTACTGTCCACAGTGGGCAAGGCTCTCTTACATCAGTTAACAATCATGACAGCCCCTCTCCTAGACATGCCCACAGTCCAATCTGACATGGGAAATCTCTCAATTGAGAGTCCCTCCTCAGGTGACCCTAGACTGTGCCAAATTGATACCTAAAGTTCACTAGGATAGTTGACCAATAATAATCACCATGGTATAGCATAATTGAATGAGAATCTTAAATACAGAACTCTGAACAATCATCATTGAGTCTAATGCTATGGAAGGATTTCTGTGCTGAGCTACTGTTTCTCCTGAACTTGTTGACAGCCCCCAAACTTTCCTTGGGTGTCAGGGCAGTCAGTGGAACTTGTACCCAAACTCACTTTCTGCTGCATCACTCTGGATCATATCACTTCTTTAATGTATAAGGCATGTGTCATAATGTTATTATGTGAATGCTGGTAAAATCACACATATATTCTTTTTCCTGTAATTCAGCTGTCTTCCTACCTTATTTTGCATTTTTAAAAATTTCAAGTGTTTATTTCTATAAAAATTTGTGTGTACTTGATTCGAAAATTGGACTTTGGTTTTAAAGAATCACTAAGACAATTGCTAATCTTTTTTGAGTTGGATCCAAGGTCCCAAGGTAGACAAGAATATAGGAAGAGTCAAGTTTCCCCAGATGGGAAAAAGAGGTCTTCAAGGGTGGGAAATAAGAGTGGCCAAGCTGCATATAGGCTAGAAAAGCCTATACACTCAGACATGTACAAGTTTCCTCATTAAAAAGTACATTATAAAGTTCACAATGAGTTAAAATTGGTAGTTCAATAGTTTATTGTTTTTCTTCTGTTTTCTTAATTTACAGAGAAGCTAAAGGGAAACTTGGTTATAAACATCGGGGTTCTTGTCATGCAAAACCCTTCTAAGGTGATTCCTACAATCAACTGGAATTTTCTCAACCAGGATCTTAAATTCCTGTCCAATGAATGAAGTCCTCTGTAGTTCAGCATATGGAATATGGTATATTGAAGAATATTTCCAACTTGTGACTGAAAGACTTTATCTCAATTATTTCATGATAATGTCAAAATCTGTAATTTTAACTATTTTTATATGAAATCCAGTGTGAATTGCAATCATAAATGTTTCACTCAATAAAATGTTAAATAAATAAATTCATTATTATTAAGGATCCCTTCTTATGGTAGTAATTGGCTAAGGAAAATGTATATACTGATCATTATAGTTAATAAAAGCATCTTGCAGGGTGAGAAAATAACACAATACTTAAATGCTCATCAAAAGAACAGATGCCAAGGCTTGTCTCTGTCCTTAAGAGTCTGAATCTCTTTAGAGATTTGAAAAATTGAATTCTAACATCTCCATCCATGTTAATTTTAGGATTAGGAATGGCACGAATGTGAACTTAAATTCTAATCCATACAATATGTTTCTAATTGAATATATTGCAGTATTCAAAGATAGTTGAAGATCTGTGAGGATTAGGAGAAACAAGGAGAATATTCCTTTTGTGTCTTGAATCAGTCAAGACTCTTAGATGCCAGGCAAGTCTGCTTTCTTTGGGATAGTTTTACCATTTTTAAAAGCAAATTTGATGTTTCTATATTTAACAAGAACAGGCTTTACTTGGGTTGCCACATGTTCAATTAAAAATGCACTTTCTTGACAGAAACACAGATTAACTACTGAATGATAACTATCAGTCTGCCACAAAAACTTGTTGGCCTGCTTTCTTTTTTGGTAAAAATTTCAGCATCTGGAAGAGTGATCTATGTGGGTTCTGCTCATTCATCTTCATGCCTTATATTAATGAACAGTGGAAGTATCCATTAGAATGTGCTGTTTAAAACCAAGACTGATGGTGTATGCCTTTAATCCCTGTACTTGTGAGGAGTGAGGAGGATTGGAAATTCAAGGACGCCTTTGACTATATATGGAAGTTTTGACCAGTCTAGGCTACCTGAGAACTTGTCTCAAGGGAAATAACAAAAAGAATGTACAGTTTTAGAGCCACGTTAAAAACAGTTCATTTGGGTTTGAACACTTTTAAAAATTATGTATGGTACTCATAACTGAAAAGAAAAAGAGGGAGGTTGATGATAAAGAAGTGACATAAAATTATACTTCAGAAGAGGTTTTTTTGTTTTTTTTTTTTTTAAGAGTTGGGGCCCTGAAAGGAGACATCAGGCCTCTATGTTCAAAGAAAAGCTTCATTAGGAAACAAATAGCATCATGACTACAGGCAGTCATAATAAGGACTTGAAAAGTTAAAATTCATATGAAAGCACAAAAGACCCCAGATAACCAAAACAACCCTCAGCAAAAGAACTAGACAGTACCTAAGTAACTACCATCCTTGTATACAGAGGTAATGAAGTGACCCAAATGAAAGGACAAATACAGTATGAAGATAAAAAGGTCAGCCTTTACCCTGTGTTTGGTTGCCTTTGAAGCTCAAGTGAGAAGTCAATGTTTTTTAAATTTTTATTTATTGTTATTATTTTATATGTATAAGTGTATAATTTGCATGTGGGTAAGTGCACTTGTGTTGTGCAATGTCTACAGAAGTCAGAAGAGGGCATTGTATTCCCTGGAACTGGAGCTATGGACTGTTGTTGGGCACCATGCAGGTGCTGGGATTAGAACCTGGGTTCTCTATAAGAGCAGCTAGTGCTCTTAACTGCTGAGTCATCTCTCTAGTCCTGTGAACTCAATGTTTTTAGCAAGGGCAATTTCTGAATGCCTGTTCTAATGACAACTGTTTAACAAATTAGTTAGCTTAAGTTTTTTGATAAGATTTGAAAGTCTCCAAGACTGTTAACACTATCACTAGTGTTTAAGCTAGGCTCTTCCCACCTATCCCTTATATGCCAAATAAAGTGACAAATATTAGTAAAAAGCAGAGAAAAATGATTTATTCAATGTGGTCCCATAGAGAAAAGGATTAAATAAAGGTGCTTTAAGTTATCTCAAATATTCTCATACCATTAGTTCTTCTAGATCTAAGAGTGTACCTTATGAACTAATTAGGGACCATCTTATAAAAAGAGGCAAAGAACTAGACAAGGCCTTCTAAAAGGAGACATTACACAACATTATCAGAGACTTAAAAATAACGACTGGAATATTCAGAATAAATTACAGTCTTCTAATTGTGAACAGTCAGGAAACAAAGTAATAAATGAAATAGAGCTAAAACTAGGTGATTTCATCTAATGAAAGAAAGCACAGCAAAGACTCTCCTCTTCCTGGATGGAGAAGACTCTATCACGTACTTCCAGCTACAGCCTTTGCTGCTAAACTTCAGCAGAATAAGCTTTTTCATTCAAATTTCTTTTGTCAGATTTATAGCACTTTCTTTGGAGAACACATCCAATTGGATATCAGAGAACATGGATTATTTGGAGCTCTTTTCTTGAGACTCCCTT